AAAACTTATATTTAAATAAATTTTTTTATATATGATCACACATAAAAATACGCAAAAACGTCTATACTCTTAAGTGATCCATCTAAAATTAACTAATCTTGTGCATGCTACCTTTTCAGAGAATAGCAAAAGATGGCAGTGTGACTGGAAAAAGATTTGCGTTCACGACCGTTGCACTACGCTATTTGCCGGTTGTGCAAAAAGTATATTACAAGGACCAATCGCAGCTGGGCTTGCTTGATAAACTGGAAACCATCCACCATAGCAAACTTGGAGAGAAGTTGGCAAAATTAGCTCAAGAGCTAAGGGCTACTGGTATAATGATCAACTATTCAATATTGCAATACCACAGCATTATCAAAGCTATAATGGAGGGACCTGAAAAATATGGTTAGCTATGCACGCACCCTGTAGATAACTTAATGTTTTTATTAGTCGACATATATAATTAAGATTCATTTACAGAAAACTTTTACATATTATAATTATGTAAAATCTTAATAATTCATCTTTTAATTTTCAATTGTTAAAATTTATTTACTTTTTATTATATTTTTTAAAAATAGTTATTTTTTCTTTAAAAAGTTTTGTTAAATTTTAAATATTAAAAATAAAGAAATGAATTATTAAGATTTTATTTAAATATAATTTGTAAAATTTATATATAAATAGATTTTTGCTTATATATATCGAAAGTTAGAACTCATTTACATAAATTATAATTTATATAAATCTTAATTATTTATTTTTTATTATAAATATTAAAATTTATTCATTTTTATCATATTTTTAAAAAATAATTATATTTTTTATATAAAAAATTATAATAAATTTCAACAATTTATACTAACAAAAGATGAATATTTAAAATTTTATATATAAATAATATATGTAAGTATCGTACATAAGTAAATCTCTCTATGTCGGTTCTAAGATTTTTTTCCTTTTCCTGAACTTCAAGGTCTCGATAGGACCACAGTTATGGACGCTTGCTGTGGTGATCGGTCCTATAATGCAGACGGTTGTGGCCATTCGGATAAGAGGGGTTGCAATGACCCTACTGCTTATGTGTTTTGGGATGGTATGCATAACACTCAGCACATTAATCAGGAAATAGCTCGCATATTCTGGAACGGACCCACAGATATGACATTTCCTCAAAATTTGCAGACTCTAGCAGGTACTCGCAAACCACAATACGATTTCTCTGTCAATGCTGATGAATTAATTGGATCAAAGTGTTGCTTAGACACGACTCAAAAGCAAGAAACTTCAAGTCTTAGTAATTAAGATATGATCTAAAAATATGTATGGGATCTTGTTTGATCGAGTTCTTGGTTTCTATGTATGCTACACAGTTTCCTAAATAACTTAGATACCATCTCTGGCTCATATGGGCTTTAATTGATGGTTGTTTGTAAACATGTTCAACTCATGTATTGTGTGTTATTTGTTATGATGGAACAATGTCCTTTGTAATATTTTCCTAATATGTGACTCTATTCATTTCTTTCCTTTAATTCAAGGCTTAATCACTTATGGTGAAGATAAATACCATATTGCTTTTTTTTTTTTTTTTAATCAGCAAAATAAAATAATATAAAGCAGAGTACAAGGTACTTCAAATCCGTTTACAAAAGAAGTGCAGGAATTAAAACGAAATACATGCAGACAGCTCCCCAATACCTTCTCAAAAGCCACTCATACAAAATAGAACATTGAACTTAGAACAACACCATTTCACACATCAATCCATGGACAGTACCTCATCTATTTCCGAATTGCCCTTGGTGTTTTCTTTGTGCTGTTAATGTTCCAGCCTTTTTGCTGTCCAACATGCTTGGCCTGGGGACGCAAACCACCCATCCTTTGATAAATCCGGCCATAAGTTCGTTTTCAGCCACATAAAAGAGTGCTATTTGATTAATTCCACAATACAATCACCTGTGACATTGTTTCCCATAAATATTGTTGGGAATAGGCCCAACATTCAGCCTAAACCATGTATAGTAAGCCTAACAATCAGCCTCGGCCATGTATAATAGGCCCAATCATTCATCCCTAAGCCCCGAAATGGAGATGCATCTATACACTAGTCTTGACACACCCACGTGGGTGCTTATATGTGGACCAATCAGATGCTTACATGTATGGACTCAAGTCAACACTGAGGGGCTATAAATACCCCCACCTACCTCCATTCAAGGTATTAACTACTTTACGCTTCTCTTTCTGCAATTACTCTTGAGAGCCTTTCTCTTTAGAATATTGAGTATTGCTAACTTGAGCATCGAAGTATCTCTCCAGAGGAAACATTCTCCGGTTTTTTAGGTGTTGAAGCAGTTGAAGATCTCTATAGTATAGGTTCGTAAAGCTGCCCAAACATTTGGTGCTGTCTATGGGAAACAAACGAAAAGTGGTGTAGCTTAACTAACTGAAGTTAAAGATGGTACGTATCTTTACTAGGAATCGCCTCCGAGGGATGACTTGGATGACCAGGATGATACTCAGCCTTTGGAGAGTGACCTGAATGACTTTCGGCCAATGTCGAGAAACCTTTTTGTAGGAGGAGCAGAGCAAGAACAGTTGAATAGCTCGGATGATTACCGAACGCCTACTAGGTATACAACCTAGCCTGAAGAGCAATTCCAGATTCCAACAGGAGCTAGGCAGAGTCACCCCTTACATAACACCTCCCGACATGGAGGACCTGCGGGGTTTGCTCAGACGTCTGAGCTAGAAGAGAGAACTAGAGTTTTGAAAATGGCCATGAGGAGAATACTTTCCTGCCTAATCCTTGATAACCCCTTGATTCCTCTGTTGAATAGGGGTGAACAACCAATGAAAATTGTAGCTCGCAATTCCTTAGCCCTAAGTAATGTAGTAGTCTCGACTAAACTAAGGGGAAGTGGGAAGTCAAACCCTGAGCCCAGCTCGTCAAAACACAATGAGGAGTTGATGAGGAAGAATGCAGACCTTGAAAGACAACTTAAAGACGTGCAGAAATCCATTGATGAGCTGAGAAGCTCGAGGTCGCGCTAGCAAGCTCTCGATCTAAATAGCGCCCCTCTCAACCTATCTGTTATAGCAGAACCATATAATGAGGGGTTCAAGATCCCTCACTTGGAAACATAGGATGACTCTGGTGACCCAGACGAACATTTGCACACCTATCAGGCTATCATGAAAATTCAGAACGCTACTGACGCCCTGATATGTAAAGTATTTCTTGAAACTTTAAAGTCAACCGTCAAGAGATGGTATCACAAGCTTCCCAAGCATTCCATAGCCTCCTGCTCTTAGCTCGCTACTTTATTTTCTAATAAGTTTGTGAGTCAGTGAGAAATAAAACGTATTGCTACCGAGTTTATGTAGGTTCACCAGAAGGAATGAGTGTCCTTGAGGGACTACATGCAGAGATTCAATAAGCCCACTTTAAACATTGATAATGTCCTAGACACCATCTGTTTATCTGCTTTGCTAAATGGCCTCAGGCCAGGCCGGTTCTTAGATGACCTGTTAGAAAATCCACCAAAATCGTGGACTGAAGTAAATGACAGGTCTGCAAGCTTCATCTTGTCAAAAGATTTTCAGTCATCTAAATGGCGAGCTGATGATAAGCAAAACAAAGACCATAAACACCTAGAAGGAAGGGAAGAGAAGAAAAAGCAGAAAACTGTTGATCACAGGGGAAAACCGCCTCGTTTTCCAAAATATGCAAATTACATCCCTCTGACCTCGTCCAGATCTCAAATCTTGTCACAAATTCAACATTGGATTAAGAGACCACCCTCTATCCTTCATGACTCACCTTGAGTAGATAGGACTAAATATTATGATTATCATCGTGGATATGGCCACAGCACAGACGATTGCCAGAGTTTAAAAGACGAGCTAGAATTTTTAGCTCGCAACGAAAACTAGAAGAACATATTCAAAAATCCTACGCCTAGTAACCTAGCCACACCCATTATGTACAAGATTATAGTTGACCTCATGGATAGGGGTACTAGGTCGGCAATAATCAAAACCCATACCAAGGGAGTCCATACTCTTTCGAGCAGGGCAGAGCATACAGGGGGCGCCAGTCCAATAGACGAGGATAGGGACAGAGGACCGTGGCTTAGAATAAAAAAGACAATAGGGGGATAGGATATGCCAGAATACCTCCGCCCTCAGGCATGATAAACGTGATTTTCGGCGGTATGCACTCAAAAGGCCAGACTGCCCGTGGCCGTAAGGCTTACGCTCGCCAAGTGATGATAGTAAACAAGAATAGACCCCCCTAAAAAGACCATTTGAAGAGGCTGAGTGGGAGAATGCACCAATCACGTTCAGTTCAGCAGACTACAAAAGGTCAGAGGGAGAATCTAACATTATCATGCCTCATGCTGATCCATTCATGGCCACCGTCCACATAGGCAACCACAATGTTAACAAAGTCTTCATTGATACAGGCAGCTCTCCAGACACCTTGTATTAGAGTTGTTTCCAGAAGATACAGCTGAATCCAACTTCGTTGAAGAAATATGAAGGGGTATGGGTTTGACAATCAACCCATCCCTGTTGAAGGGGTCATCACTCTTCCCATCTATGTGGGCGTCGAGACACGGTTTAGAATGGCATCGGTGAGCTTCTTGGTGGTCAAGATGGAATTGACCTTTAACGCCATAATAAGAAAGGCTACTCTTTGTGAATTGAAGGCTATTATTTCCCAACCACATTTGTGTATGAAATTCCCAACTCCCCATGCGATAAAAGTGCTTAAGGGAAACCAAAAGATGGCCTAAGTGTGCTATCAGGATACATTCAAGAAAGTCAAGCGCGCAGTAGCACCTAGCGCCACAACCTCTCAGGTCTCTAGGCCAAGTCAACCAACCTTGCAAACGATGAGCATTTCTGACATAGATCACCGACCTGAGAATGTAGAACAAAAAGCTGAGCCGGTGGAGACCGTTCCTTTGAACCCTGACAAACCAGAAATGACAGTAAAAATTGGAACTAAGCTCACATAGGAGGAAAGAACTGAGCTTTTGTAATTTATAAAGTCCAACCAGAATGTTTTTGCGTGGACAATAGATGAAATGCCTGAAATTCCAATAGAATTTGTAGTCCACAAGCTCAACACAGATCTTACAAGGAAGCCCGTAGTTAAGAAACGACAACTCTTCGACCCCGAAAAATAAGCCATTATAGATGAAGAAATACAAAAACTGTTATAGGTAGGTTTCATCAGGTGGGTTGAATATTCGCAATGGGTGTTCAATTATGTGCTTGTCAAAAAGCTTAATAGCAAATGGAGGATGTACATTGATTTTACGAACCTTAACGAGGCATGTCCCAAAGACCTACACCCTTTGCCTAATGTTTAAAAGTTGGGGGAGTAGGCAGCTGGTCATGAACGCATGAGCCTTCTTGATGCCAGTTCGGGATACCATCAAGTTCAACTATGGTTGGATGACCAAGAGAAAATGGCATTTTATGCGGGGGACGCCATCAACTGTTACGTCATGACGCCGTTTGGGTTGAAGAATGCTGGCGCAACGTATCAGAAGTTAGTTCAGGTTGTATTTAAGCTTTAGATCAGCAGAAATATCAAAGTTTATGTTAATGATATGATTGTCACTAGTGCATGATCTAAAGATCATATTGACAATCTCAATGAAACATTTCAAAACTTGCACCGAGCACAAATTTAAAGTGTACATCTGCTGTGGAATCAAACAAATTTTTGTCATATGTGGTATCCAAGAAAGGAATTGAGGTGAATCCAAACAAAGTTCAGGTCGTGCAAGAAATGGAACCTCTTAAGACAGTAAAAGATGTGCAACAGCTGATAGGTCGTCTCGCTGCTTTACACAGGTTTATTGCCAGGTCGGCAGAAAAAATGTCTTCCATTTTTCAAAGCCTTGAGAGAGCCCAAAAACTTCTAGTGGACTAACGAATGCCAGTAGGCTTTTAATGAGCTCAAACAATACTTGGCATTACCACCCTTACTTTCTAAACCTATTGAGGGAGAGAAGTTATATCTGTACATGGGAATTACAAATGAAGCAGTCAGCTCAGTTTTGCTAAGAGAACAAGCTCAACACCAGAAACCCATATGTTATATAAGCAAGGTTCTACAAGATGTAAAAAGGAACTACCCAATTGCTAAAAAAGCCATTTTTGCCCTTGTTTACACCGCTTGAAAGTTAAGAGCATACTTCCAATCTCATCAGATTATTGGTTTCACTGACCTACCGTTGAGGAAGATATTACAAAAACTTGAGCTTTTTGGGTGACTAATTGGATGGGCTATTGAGCTGAGCGAGTACAATTTCAAATTCGAGCCAAGAACAGCTATAAAAGGTCAAGCTTTGGCAGACTTTCTAGTTGAATGTAACCCGGAAACTATGGAAGAAACCACGCCTTTGCACCCCGTATGAATGTTGTACGTAGATGGTGCTACAAGTGTTGAGGGATCAGGGCCAAGAGCAGTGTTAATGGGCCCATATGGTTTTAAATCCGAGCATGCATTGAGATTCAAATTTCAGACGACCAATAATGCCACTGAATATGAAGCACTCATTTACGGTATGAAATTGGCATTGAAGCTGAAAGCGCAGAACATAAGAGTCTTTAGTGATTCCCAGCTTATAGTAAACCAAGTGAATGGAAGTTGTGATATCAGAGACCCTCAGCTCGGTCATTACGCCTCTATGGTCAACAGGTTGAAATCAGACTTTGTTTTGTTTCAAATGGACAAGATACCAAGGGTAGACAACAAGTGGGCTGATGAACTGTCAAAGTTAGCGTCGTCACAAGATATGAATCCTCAGAGAACAACATTCATTAAGATTCTTGATGCACCAAGATATGCTAACCCCGTAGTTGAATGCTAAGTGTTGAGCACAGATCCCTCATTACGAAGCTAGACCACACCTTTGATTAACTATTTATGAGATGGTGAATTGCCTGAGGACCCATTTGATGCTCCATTAATTAGACGCAAGGCAGCACATTTCACCTTGATTGAGGATTAGTTGTATAAACAAGCAGTGTTAATGCCCCTACTACGTTGCCTTACCCTTTACGAAGCTGAGTATGCTGTAAGAGAAGTTCATGAAGGAGTGTATGGCACATACATAGGTGGTAAAACATTGGCTCAGAAACTTCTAAAGCATGGATATTACTGGCCTATTATGGTAGAAGATTGATTTGATTCTAAATTAAAATCACTTTCTAATTTAAAATAGTATTTTAATTTCAAATTACATTTAAATTAATTTAAAATTTTTCATTCATTAATTGTGATTTGACTTTAAATAGATTTTACAATTTAATTATTATATTATCGATCAATTGAATAAATGGAAATATAAAAATTAAAGAAAAATGAAAAAAAGTAAAAATGTAAAAAAAAGAAAAAAAGAGATGAATCGATTCAAATCAATCGGGTTCGACTGGATTGGGGTGAGTTTTGATTGAGTTTGACTCAGTTTGACCGAATTTGATTTCAAACGGATTACTATCATAGCCTGGCTCATTTTTAGAACTAGGTTCAACCAACTGGTTGAATCGACTGAGTTGGGTTCGATTTCAAAACAATGGTTTAGACTGTAATTAACAATATTTTATTAAAATTTTATTAGTTTTATTTAAGTTTAGATTGAATGTAAATAATATTTTATTAAATTTTATTTTGAAAAGAATTTTAAAATAAAATATCATTAAATAAGGATATAAGTATATATTCACAAGTTACTTTGTATTTGTTGGGTTAAATATCAAGTATAAGTCCTCAATTATTTGGATAAATACTAAGTTTAAAAAGATGTACTTAAAAATTTTCAAATTAAGTACTAAAGATATCTCATACTTGACCTGCATCCAAAAATGCTAACCCCTACCCTACGGCTGAGTTTGGTTTGGGAAAGTTTTCTTCATAGTTTAGTAAGTTTGGTTTACGCCAATAGTATGTTAAATAGAAGATATAAAATTAACAATTATTGACTATAAGACTCCTACATAAGAAGTAATTAATTTTCTTAACCAACTACTTTATTGCTTGTGGTAAATATTTAGTGTCTGACAAGTAGATCTTGGCTTCAAGCCACTCATCCCATTATTAATTTTTATTGTCAAAAAAAAAAAATTGTTAACAAAATTTTTCCCAATAATTTTTTGCAAACTAAACAATCAAAGAAAAATATATTCTGTTGAGCCAGATAAGCTCTAAATTAATGAAAGGGAAAAACACTCCCTCAAAGAAAGTACGAATTGGGATAAATATTTTTTGTATAATAAATCGGACATTTTCGTCTCTATCTATTGGTCACTCTATTTACTTTCGCAATGCAAACACCTACCATATATACTCAATCCGCTTCAGTTATCAATACAAATTTTTCGGAAAAAAATGCAATGATCACCATGACCATGTTAGCGCCTTATTCGGCTGCGTAAGCGAAAAGACGTGCTTCTGATAACTATCATCACCGCAGCGAGTCAATTCACGTCACACCCACTACTAAAATAGGTTATAACTTACGGGTCCTCCCTTCCTCTTCTTACTTCACCAAACACTCCACTCCATTAGCTCTGAGAACGAGGATAGTCTTCTTTAATTGCGTCTTCTTCTTGCTGTGGGGGACCAGGTCTGCAAAATGCACATCTTTCTCTTTTTTTTTCCTGTTCTATAACTTCTTCATGTTTCCTTTCCTTTCTCGTTGTACATTTTAAGTTATATGTTTTGTCGAATTTGATTATACGGTACAATCCGGAGCAACTCAGATCTGTTAGTATCTTGTGGAGGAAAGTAAAGCTTGAGATTAATTTGAAGGATGATCTTGACCGGACTCCCCTACATCATGCAATTATTGCACCGAACTTTCCCATTGCTGTGTATTTGCATGAAAATGCTGCAAATCCGAATGCTGTAACTATCAAGCGGGAAACCGCTTTGCATTTTGCTGCAGAAAAAGGTAATTCAACAGTCAAAAGAAATATGTTTTTTAATTAATTGCGTGGATATATAAGCTTCTTTTCGATTTTGATTTACATGTTACGTTCTTATGATTACACGTGTAGGACTGGGAAAATGTTGGTAGAGTGTAATATCATAAATTTAGGATGCGACTTTTTCCTTTTGAAAATCTGTTTCTGAAGGGTAAAATATTGACCCAAGAGCTCCATGATATTGGGGGCCTCCTCGTCTATGGATCCTGTTTTATAGTCTGGACAATAAAACAGCGACCTCTTCACTTTCTCACCTGTCAAAGCTATTAATAATTGAAATTTTGCACGACTGGCAATGGGTTCTCTGAAGGATGTTTAAAATGTAACGATGTCATTCAGATTTCTATTGCTACTGTTCCGTTGCATCCTTGCAGAGTCGAAGGAACTTCTAAAGCCGTTACTGTCGAAAGGTGCTGACATCAATGCAGTGACTTATCGCAGCACCCCATTGCATCTCGCACTAGCTGAGGGAAAGATGGATTTTGTTGAGTTTTTGTTGCATAAAAATGCCAGTGTAAGGAAAGACTATGGTTTGAAAATTAATTTCTTTCTTATATCCTAGTAAACATAGAGGTTCAGATTCCTGGTACTTTTCTTCCCTTATGATTCAAAACTTTCATGAAAGCTTCTTGGTGTACTTAAATGGTGAATATAAAATTAAGTCTAGAGTGTGTTCTTTTTTACTTTTTTCTTCCCTCTTGGTTTGCCTTATTATTTGGTTAACTAATTGCTACATTTTACTCTTTCCTAGCCAAATGTGATCTCATATGATTTATTTTCCCCATTAGTGGTTGCTATCAACCATCAATCAATTGCTTGCGTGAAGATGCCTCTGAAGATATACATATTCTGCTTTTCTTCTATATTATTATGTTATTTTGTTGTATGAAATTCATTGTTGAATTTCAGTATTGGAGGAGGATATGGTTTCTTTAAATTTTATGTGGCCTTGAGTATATAAGGTTACTTGCATGTGGATGCTAGGTATCGTGCGATGTATTAGGTTTTTAGTAAAAAGAGTTGAGGTTTTCAGGGTTTCTAGCTCACCATCTGGATGTTGATGCTTGTTCCTTATGAATAGGTGCTACTTGAAGCAGTATGAGCAATCTGTTGATTGATTGGCAGCTTATGTGTGTGTGTGTGTTTTAATGATAGTGCTTACTAGTATGGGCAGAAGCTGATCCAAACCTTTATGTGTTGAAAGGAATGACACCTTTAGGATGTGCAGCTCATGAAGAGGGGGATAGATATAATTGAATGCCTGTTGAATGCCGGAGCTGATCCAAATGACACTGACA